ACAACCCTTGAAAGACCTCTTTGAGATGTACATACACTTGTGCAAAGTTCGGTTAGAGCTACATTCGGCCTGATTCCTAACGGATACGTAGGCAACCTCACATCGAGGTGCAACCACATTCATATTCATATCCATTCATGATCGAGTCAAAGAATATCCAATGCTTACCCCTACCCATTTAGAGCTAGACTTGGGGGCTTGAACCCACATCATTCAGCCTACCTATCCTAAAGAGTCACCATCTCGACTCTTCTCACATCTATTTCCCTTACCATAGCCATTGCAACCTCACCTAGTATCACTTTCACACACGTCTTTCACACATACATAGCCATATCAGCTTTCCCTTAGGAACGTTTTATCACGAAATCTTGTTTCCATACCGTGCATGTTTCATCATCTTTCAAGACAACATTCAAGAAACATTGTATACTTGCTTAGCTTCCTGACCTGAGCAATGTTCATTGTTTCATGCATCGCATAATGTGCTGAGAAAAATTTATATATCAATGATTTTTAATCATACAAAGCATATCGTGCTTAGCTCCTTGACCTAAGCAACGTTCATTATGCAATAATCACTTCATCTGTATACGTGCTTAGCTTCCAGACCTAAGTGACGTTCAAGATCGTTTCTTTACACCATAAATGATTCTTAGCTCCATGATCTAAGTTCATTCATCGTGTCACATGATGTAATTGTCCTTAGCCTCATGGCCTAAGGACATGCATCACGCATACATTACTTTCAAGAAAAGCAATCTAACCCATGTGATTCATTTTGTCTTGCTCAACGAGGAAGTTCAAAACTTCTTTCCTTTTTTTCGCGTCTTTTCTTTTGGGGAAGTTTTAAAAAAAAACTTTTTCAAAATTTTCTCATCGAGGGAAGTTCGAAAATAAAAGTTCAGTTTTCACATCTTTCTTTTTCGGGAGAAAGTCGGTACCCTCCACTCATAACAAAAAAATTGACGGAAAATTTTTGCTTTTGCATCTTCGTTTGCTTGTGTCTGCACACACACTCAAACTATACACACACAACCACAAGATGTACACATGTCATGTCGTGTCAAGTCAAAGCTTGGTCAAGTCAGTTGGTCAAGTCAATCATAGTCTATACGAGTCCCTTGGCAAATTTAATTTTGCAGGTCTCAATTACAGCCCACGTCCGGGGACAAGCGGACCATCTACAACCCACGTCCGGGGACAAGCGGACCATCTACAGCCCACGTTCGGGGACAAGCGAACCAATTACATTCCACGTTCGGGGACAAGCGAACCTTTTACAACCCACGTTCGGGGACAAGAGAACCATCTGCATCCCACGTCCGGGGACAAGCGGACCATCTACAGCCCACGTTCGGGGACAAGCGAACCAACTGCAGCCCACGTCCGGGGACAAGCGGACCATCTACAGCCTACGTTCGGGGACAATCAAACCACCATCATTTCATGACGCAAGGTTCTCGATACACTGAGACTTGCAATCTCGTCATTTGTCGACTTTCCTCAAGCATGGAAAGTATTATCCGGCGGATTTCTTCAAGCATAGAAAACCGCCAAATTCCTATGTCGACTTTCCTCAAGCATGGAAAGCATTATTAGTGGATTTCTTCAAGCATATAAAAATACCAAAATCATATGTCGACTTTCCTCAAGCATGGAAAGTGTCATCCGGTAGGTTTCTTCAGGCTTAGAAAGCTACCAAACTTATCTGTCGGCTTTCCTCGAGCATGGAAAGCATTTCAACAAACGTCATCCGGTGGATTCCTTCAAGCATAGGAAAATACCAAACTCATTTGTCACTGATACACTGGTGTCAGATAAGCGTTCTATCCCTTTACTCTTTTATATGTGGAATTAACATTTTTTGCAGGTATCGCGTATACAGAGTGATTTAGGATCGCAGAACATCTTAAATCATTCTCCGTCCCTATCGACTACTTTGACTATCGTTTTCAAAACTGACGTTTCTACAAACTCAGTCAAAGTGGGGGCTTCTGTAGACACCTAAAAATGTCTCCCCAAAACCAAACCCGATGATGAACAACCTTTCACCGCTATTATTGGTCGGGTTGGGTATTTAACCTTAGAGTGCTTAAATCCATATTTCCATTTCATAAACCAACCCAACTTCTAGCCCATTTACCCAAATCATAACTTATTTTCCTCTTTTCGTGCCTTTAAACCCAAAACAATTCATTTTGTGTCCTTTAAAATCATTCATTTCGTGTCCTTTTTATAAAAACGTTTAATCCAGTTTATTTTGGTCCATAATATGGGTCCAATGATTAAATAGTTGGATGGGGCTTTAAAAGAGCTTTCCAACGATATATTATAAGCCCATATCCGAGTTATAACGAATAAGTTATGGCCAAAATATTAAAATGAGCCCAAACCGAACCTAAGCCCACCTTACCTACGACCCAATGATCATGTGGAGGGTCCAAATGATTTAATCCAATTCCTAAACAAATTAGGATTAATTATAATCTTCTATAAGTTTCTAAAAGATCCTAATTATCCTTTTTGAAAAGATAAGATTAAAGAGTTTAAAATTGAATAAAACTCCTTTTTTTGAAAGTGCTAATTCTATTTGAATTGACAGATGTTCAAAGATAGACAGATATTATTTTTGTGCCTCATAGTTTTTAATCCAAATTTTATATGGTTGGATAGACCTTGAAATTATCTTTCAAATGATATATTATAATATCAATTCTGAGCTATAACGGAAAAGATATGAATTAAATGTCAAACTCTATCCAAAACTGACACCGTCTCACTATTTCGGCCATATCTTTTATTCTACAAAATATTTTAATCTGATTCTAATTGGGTTAGAAATTATACTTCAAGAGATTTCCAACGATATCTTATTTATCTTATTTCGATTTCTGGATTAAAAGATATGATAAAAAAAAAACCCGCAAAAACTGCTGTCTGTCGCAAGAGTTTTATCCGATTCGAATTCTTATCTTGTTTTTTCGACCCTTCTTTTTGCTCTATAAATAGAGGTCATATCTCCCCTTTTTTCAATGATCAACAAGCTTGATCACAAAATAATTCTTTTCTCCCTCTTTAGCTTAAAACACTAGCCTCCCCATTCTTTTACTATTCCTTCCTTAAAGCACTCCAAGGAGTCCATACAATACCTGAAGTTCTATACTTTAACCAAAGCATGAAAGGTATAATTGACTTAGGGTTTGGACCAAATAAAATCTAATCATTTATTTAATTTAATTTTCATTTGATTTATATTTTAACTGAAGTTACTAACAGTTTATTCATGATGTAGCAATTTAAAGGAACGTGCGGATTGTGAGTAATTAATTAATTTAATTACTCTTATTTTATTTTAATATTGTTAGCATCATGATTAGGTTATTTTTTATTTGATTTGACTAACGCTATTATTGTTAAATTGCTTCCAATATTAATGTTTATTCTATTGGTATTATGATCACCATATTGCATGTTTAAAGGGAATATGTACTTGAAAATCACGCCTAATAAGATAATCTGGACAACCGGTTTAGGTTCCTTTTTAGTCTTGTTATTTAATCAAGTGATCAAAATATTTTAGAATTATGTGTTGCATTAATATTCAATCAATTTAGCTTAATAATAATTTGGAGCAAATTGAATATTTTGTTTGCATGCCTTTGAGATCGCAAGATCACTTTTCACTATAAGAATCGAGTAGAGGCCAATATGGGCGAATGTGACTCCATGACTCACTTCGTACCATCATCCCCCATCCTCCTTTCGTGGTTCCGAACCATATGGAGTTAGTAATCTCATGGATTATGAATGGGGTGTAACCTTCACGGGTCAATCGGTGTTGTCTATCGTTGTCCCTTTATCGTGGTTGCCTTTTATGATCCGTGAACGGTTTACAAGTTTCTTAAAAAACTTGTTGGCGGCTCCCTACTTTCCTTGTCCCTAATCGTATTGTTAATTCCTACTTCCTAAGAGTGCCAAGTTTTTTTCAACATGCTTTAACGTAGGCGCACTTCGAGCGACGCCTACAAAAGGATGCCCTCCTTTTATAAGAGGCATTATGTTAGAATGACATTGAAAAATTCGAATTTTGGGGGAAATTGGAAAAAATTGAATTTGGGGTGAAAATTTGGGAGGGAAACAAAGTGGGAAACAAATTTCCCACATGTTTGTATGCTGCCAGAATCTCTTGGTGGGAAATTCGCACTAAAAATCAGAAAGTCCAAGTGGTCCAAAAAAGTCAAATTATGGGACCACATGTATTCCCTCCATATTACTCCCCTAATTACGTACCCTTACCTTTTCTAATCAACCCCCTTAAAAGTTTTGTCTCGGCCTCCGCAATGACCCCCAAAGTTGCAAATAAAATGGACCGGAGATAGTAATTATTATTGACGCGAAACTACATAGTTAAACATCGGATACAACTCTGAATTACTCCATACTAATTGTAATTACTAAGCAAAGTTAACTAACCTTAGATATTTTGTACTTTCAATAAACTAGACAATACTACTATCTTAAGGGTAAGCGAGGAATTTTAAAAGGAGGAATGTTAGGCATTTAGAAATGCATGACAAAGGGTATGCATGTAATTATGCATATGTACAAACGAATAAATATTCTGATATCATTCGATGATCAAATGGTACCATTGAATATACAGTGATACTATATGTGCAAATAATGAGATTATATATGTATTCAGTTGTACTAAATTTATGTGTAAATAGTACTACTAAGTATTCAATGGTACTATATAAACTTTCAGTGGAACAATCAGCATGTGGTCCCTCATCACGTGATACAATCCGACCAAAAAATAAGTGTGGTCCACCTACATGCTTCTCTCTTCCTATCTCTCTCCTCTTTTCTCTCTCTATAGTGTTTTTATAATATTTTAATCAATAATATCCATTAATAAATGCATAACTTTCCTCCATTTCTAGTTCCTCAAGGATAAAGTATAATAACTCCAAATTGAACCAAAAATCTTATTTCCAAAGTGATTTGGCCATTGGGGGAATGAGTGGATAGTAACATATGAACATCAATATCAATCTCAACCCATAAGATATTCCTATTTTTCTCCACACTCTAATTCAATCTCTACATACTTTCTTGTGTTTCAACGAACAACAATCAAATTCAACCAATTTCCCCACTTCTCAAAATCAAATTCATCTCACAAAAAAAAATGACAATCCTAAACTATGTGACAGTATACTCAAGCGCAACACCAATATCACAAGACTCACCAACACCTTCACCACCTAACACAATACCATCAACTCCGCCGGCGCGGCCGCCTACCAAAATCTTACTTCCGAACAAGAAGCCAGTTAAATGGAGCACCGGCGTTGCGCCGGGTGAATACGGTGGCCCACCCACCACCACCAAGCTCCGGAAGTATTGGGGTGGAGAAAAGGAGGATCCAATTACATCATCTGACTTAATTTGGAACAGAGATTTTATGCCTCAGATGGAAAAGCTTGTTCAAGATCAATCTCTAGTTGATGATTCTTCTTTATTTCCTTCTCCTCCTGTTGAGGTAATTTACTTGATTATTAGCATCACTTTTGTTGATTGATTTGAATAAATTTAAAGGGGTTTAGATTAATAACGGTATGATTCTGAAATTGGTGGTAGTGAATTAGTGATTTGTTGATCAGCGATAAGGTTTAAGTATTTAGCCATTTACGTGTTGTTTGGCAATGCTTTTTATTTATGGTTTACGGAGTAATACGGTTTAATTTCTGACATTTTAAAACTCGAAAGTTACAGTGATATCAAACGTGCCTTTAATTTGTGGTCGGGTTTTGGGGATTTAAGATAAGGTTAGGAAGACTAGGACTCCGAACGCTGATTTTTGAACAAGGGTGATGTTCCTCTAAGCTTGAAAATGGACCATATGTGGTCATTGAGAGTTCGGTCCACAATTTCACGTCTTTTTAAATCCAATTGGACACTTGGACCATGAAAGAATTTACTAGTGATAGGATTTCAGGGGGCAAAAACAAAAAAACTCAAAAATAATACTTCCTCTATTTGTTTATAGTTGCAATATACACTTTTATCACACTTATCGATGAGATAGTTAAAGTAGGTTAACAAATGAATTAAGCGATGAAATTTAAACCGTAGTAACTTATTCCTTTCTTTTTGTAGGTGTTAAAATTTTATAAATTAATCTATCCATTTACCTAGTCTAATATCGTTTTTAACATGCGTGTCAAAGAGGTGTGTTGCAACTAAATAAAAATGGAGGAAGTACTTGTATTAGACTATTTAGTCTTCTTAATTAACCTTTTACTGACATAACATAATTAACTAATCTAGATAATTAAAAATAAACCCGGATATATTACGAATTGACGATAAGCCACTTTGGGTTGCCACCCATCCATATTTTTGGTTAAGTTTGTGTGGGTAGCGAACGAACCTATTTACCACCCAAGACATAACCTAGCTAGCACATCACGACTTAATTTAGTATGGTTTGACTAAGTAAAATATCATGTAAATAGTTAGACAAATTTTGGATATAACTTGCCCTAAACTTTATTGGCCTTTTTTCACTCTCTTTATAGAAGGGTACCTTTAAAATTGGATTTTTCAGCCTTATAAATTATTGTGAATGATTGTACGTGCTTAATTAAGTCTTCAAACAATATTTCTCTTTTTTTTTTTTGAATAGATATTTCTCACATGATCGTATTTCATTAGTTAATTAAATTAAAAATAAAGTATGAGTACAAATATTACTAGGTTTTTTATTTTTTTAATATAATAGTACAAATATTACTAGTGGTATTATTATTATTATTATTATTATTATTATTATTATTATTGGTTACTAGTGGTATTAATTAATGGTCAATTAATGAATCAAAAAAAAAATTAATGGTCAATTAAACGGATAATTAGAATTTAAGGAGCCATCATTTTCCAATCAAAAATCGGAGCGTCTGTATACGAGCCGTTTAACATCCAACGGCCCACATTCATATAGGAGCGGACTTATAACGTTTGAATCCCTTCTCCAACGGTCGAAAATATTATAAACCTCAACGCAATTTTCTATCTTCATCAAAATTTCTCTGAATTCCCATTTCATCTTTTCAAGACTCACATCAAATTTACATCTCTCTTTCTTTCTCTCACTTCAATTTCTTTGTAAATTTTCGAATTCGAACCCCCGAAAATGAGCGTTTTACAGCAATACCCAGAAACAATGAATTCGCAAGATCTTCAAATATGGAATAATGCAGCATTTGATAACGGAGAATCAGAAAATTCTGCAAATGTCAAGTTTTCTTGGTCAGGTTTGAATCCATTATCATCAATCAATCTTTCTCAATCGATTGAATCCGATTCAACTAAAGAGAATCGGACCCCTTCAATGGCGGAATCCCCGGTTTCTTTAAAATGTTTATCTGAGGGTAAGCCTTTGCAAGATAACATAGTAATTAGAAATGCCCAGAACATCCCAATTTGTAAGATGGGTGTTTTAGAAAAGGGGAATCAACTCGAGGAAAAGGATATCGATATCGAGATTGAGGAGATTGAGAAGGAGATTAATCGATTGTCATCGAGGTTAGAGTCACTACGTATCGAAAAAGCGAAACAAAATGCCAAGATGATGGAGAAGAAAGGAAAAATTGTTGCTGCTAAGTTCATGGATCCGCCAAAACAGAGTACTAGAAGCTCTAATGAACAGAACAAGTTTGAAGATTCGATGAGTTTGAGTGCTAAATTGAAGACACCGAGAAGGGGGTTAAGTATGGGGCCGGCGGAGATCATGAGAAGTGTGAGAAGAGGCATTAGTCTCGGGCCGGCAGAGATTTACTCGGCGACGAAGTTGAAGCAATTTGGGAAGCAAGATGCTATCACCCCTGGTCAGCAGAGTGCAAACAGGAGGAAATCTTGTTATTGGAAGTTACATGATGTTGATGAATTGAGGGTTACTAAAGAGAGAGGGAAAAGTATGAGCTTAAGTCCAAAAGCTCGGTCGAAAACTGCTGTTAAAGCACAAGTGCCAAAGCCTGCTGCAACTACAATTGGGTCTAAGAAGACAGCAAAGAAAGAAGATGCTGTTATTTCTTCAATTCAACCAAAGAAGCTGTTTGCTAAAGATGTTGAGAAATCGGGTCCGGCCAAGAAGCCAATTAAGAGTGGTAGAGTGGTTCCTAGTAGGTATAATCAGGTCTCAAATGGGGGGAATTCGGCTGTGAAAGAACTTAGGAAGAGGTCATTGTCTGAAAATGAGGAGGATTTTAAGAGGTCTGATAAGAAACGTGTTTCGTTAACAGAAAAGACTTCAGGAGGAGAGCAATTAGCAACTGAAAGTAGAGTGAAAAGGCGGTGGAAAATTCCTAGTGAAGTGGTAATTCAAAAGAATGTTGATCACAAGACACCTTTGTCTGTGTCGAAAATGGTTGATATGGTTCCGAAAATTAAGAATCTGCGGTGCATAAACGAGAATCCTAGAGACTCCGGCCCTGCTAAAAGGGTGGCTGAGTTAGTTGGTAGGAAATCCTTCTTCAGTACTGAGGATGGGGTTGATGAGGAAGCTGAAGAATCTGTCTGTCAGGCTTTGAGTTTTGCTGAAGAGCAGGTCGTTCAAGAGTGTCCAAAAATTAGGATTATTCGACATGTTAATGAGAGTCCAAGAGATTCAGGTGCTGCGAAAAGAGTGTCTCAGTTAGTTGGAAGGAAGTCATTCTTCCACAATGATGAAGATGAGATGCCAGTGTTTAGTTTCGAAGAGGATGATAGTGATGAAAATTGAAACAATGGGGATGGAATAAACTTTTTATCTGATCATTTTGTTTGAATTTAGATGTCATTGTTGATACATATAAGCAGTAAGGAATGCAACTGGGGTACAGCAAGCTTGTGCTTACCTTTAATCAGTTCTACTTGTCTACTCCTACTGTAGTTTTGGCTTATCTTGGGTTTATTGAGTAGAATGATATTGGATTATGTGCTTGGAAGTTGGAAGTAAGCTTGCTTTTGCTGCTTGCAACTCAGTTGTAAAATAAATTGTGTGAATTTTTGGTTAAATAAATAATTTTTGTTGGTGAAGTGGGCATATAAACTGTTGGCTTATGGCACCTAGTTAATTGATTTGTCTAATTTTTCTACATTAGTTAAGTTCTTAAGCTTTTGTTACTTAAAGTTATCTGTTTAATCTAGCATTGGTGATGAAAGCTATTATGTCTCTTTCAAGTTTCAACTGGTGAAACTAGATGTCACCAGTCTTGGTACATACAATTAGGTAAAGACCTTTTGTTGCTCTGTAGTCACCTTATTTAGTCAGTTTCTCAAATATCTGACTCAAAATCGCTCATTACTTGCATCTCTCCACTCCAATTCATTCTACAGCTTTGCTAAAACTACGCAAAATGAGATGGATGCTTTATTTTTCATCTACATTTAGTACTGCTGCTGACTTTTATCATGAAAATAATTACCTAACTGCTGATTCCTGAACAGGATTCCTCTGGATTTCTAAGCCTGAATAGAGTCATGAGTCTTGACAGGTATGCTATGCCTCGCAGCAATTCTTCAATCTTTATCTGCTTAGCCAATGTTGATGGGGGTAAGGAACTGAGGATACTGACCTCTGGTGAATGTGATACAGTTTAGAAGTTGATCTAAGTGCTTCTCTTAAAGTAACTCCAAAACCAGCGGTAGAACAGCCAACTGCAACAGCCAAAGTATGCTTATTGACATTAAATATTACTGTTTACCTTCTTAAAATCACTGCTAACATAGATGATCACATGACCCCATCACCAGAATATGCAAGTCCCTACTCAAAGATGGAAACTGGCACCCACTAAGCGAGAGCAGGAGAAATGGGATAAAGCAACTAAGGCTGCAACTGGAGGCAGTGTAAGTGTCACTTATCTGACCTAATTGTTCTGCATAATTGTTCCAGATACCATTGTTTTCTTAATAATTCAGACTTTTTTAATGTGTGGAGTGCTTAACATTTCATTATGTTGTAGGATGTGATGCTTCGTGAAATAAGGCAGCCTCGGGGGGATCCAGAAGTTCTAGCTGCCCAATCAAGAGAGCAGTATTATAAGGTTGAGTTGTAACAGTTTAGTTTTACTTGCTGACTAGACCTGTCACATTATGGTGCCCTATCAGTAAATCTTTTTTTGTTTCTTTGCTTTCATGCCTCTGGTTACATGATGAGTTCCTCACTGAAGTTATCACTTCTGCAGCTGAAGAACAAACTGCAACTGCTAACAGTGGGAATCGGCGGTGTTGGATTGGTTTCATCTTATGTTTCTTACACTCCAGAAATCGCTATAAGGTTAAGTATCATTAAGTTTAAAACTCCAATCTCTTTCCTCTAGTGTTGTTACTTTGTGGTGTTAAATGCTGGGATCAGTGGAGCACATAGACATTGAAGCCTTTAATTATGGGGTGGATACACATTAATGCTCAAACAGTATGGAAAGCTAACTGATTGTGACATGAACTTCCATGATTTGATATGCTATGTGCTAGATTTTATCCTCTCGATGATTATTTTAAAAATCACATTATTCACAAATTCTTTTGCCATACATTGCAGCTAAAAATACTTTCTGTAGAATTGTAATGCTACATTCTGCTATGTTTTGCATTAGAGGATGTTCCAGCGCCTCCTGGGTCAAGTCCAATAGTGACGTATGTGATACTGGCTGCATGGGTTAACTGAAATTTAGATGTGAAGAAGTACTGCTGAATTTATTACTTTCAATTACCACTGCTGAGATTCGACTCTTGATTTTATAAGTATCTTCTGGATTAAATTAGGGCTTCAATCTCCCCTTCAAAAACTCGTGAAGTCCTTTGATATAAGATGCCTAAAATTTTATGTGGCTAATGAATATCCCTTAATAACTTACAGTTTTGGTGCTGGATTTCTGGGTTCATTGGCCTACATACGGATGCTTGGCAACAGTGTAGACTCTATGGCCTCTTCAGGATCTAGGAGAATGATCAAGTATGTGCTGTTTTTCTTCTTCAATTTGCCAGCTTTTATTTTTATTCTGTAGCCCTACATTGCTGTGACTTTTCATGCCTCTACATGATGATGTCTTCAGACAATTTAAATGCTTCACTTGTGATTTTGGATCTCTGTACTTACTTTTGGTGTTCCATTTGAGAATTCAATAACAGCTATACATCAGTTGTCTGCTTGAAGTAACTTTAGGCTGTAGGCATATTATGAGGTGAACGAGTCCAAATTTTTTGTTTTTAAGTTTTATTGGGTGCAGAATGACATAATAATAAAGTTTGAACTATACACAAAATTTATGCCTGAGGGTGCCTGCCCCTCAAATATGGACAAAGAGAATTTCAAGCTAAAAAAGTAAAGCTTTAAATAATACAATTAGACAAACACAGTTGGAGGGGAAAGGAGTCTTTCTTACCAAAATTTAATAGTTTTGCATAGTTGGGCCTTGATAAGTTGATAACTCACATTTCTAGTAGACGATGTGTCCAATGTCTGATATTCAGATACCTGATAACTGCATCTCTCTTCAATTCATGCATCTAAGTTTTGATCCCCTAAAATATCACTTTGCATTCCCTACTATTGGCTGTGATGGGTAGTCCAGTAAGAGGCAGCATTAGAAACTGATCAATTCACACATTTTGAATCATAAAACCATTCCTGTGATGCAAAAGTTGTCCTTTATCAGTCTGTCAGTTTTATGTTCCTTCTGCTTTCATGTTAATGACTAAGAATCTAAATTATCTGGTTTCCATTTGATCATTTGCTTGCAGGGCAGCAGTTGGGCAGCCTAGGCTATTGGTTCCAGTTGTGTTAGTCATGATCTATAACCGTTGGAACGGGTAAGTAATAGTCCGTACATGCTTGTGATGTGATTGTGAATTCAACAGGATTATAAGTTCCTCCAACAATTATTATCCCAATTGGTTGCAGGATTGCGGTTCCTCAATATGGACTTATGCACTTAGACTTGATACCAATGCTAGTAGGGTTCTTCACCTACAAAATTGCTACTTTTGTACAAGCCATTGAGGAAGCACTGACTATTGTGGGGAAGAACTCAGAGTCAGACACTTGAGCTATATTCAGTACACTAGATTTGCAATACTAATTTTTCAGGTTATTGATACTTCCACTCTTTTTGAGATGCAAACTTGCCTTTTTATACTAGTTCAAAACCAAACACAATTTTTTGTGGTGAATGGTTGATTATTATTTTTTGAGTATTGTTTTACCAAAATACTCCTGTGAATTTTTTGTGCGAATGCTGTTCGCTTGGTCCTAATTTAATGACTTGCATTTTCCTTGATGGCTTTCAGATTAAAAACAGCGGCTTGGAGGCATTCTCCATTAATCATGAAACATCTGCAAGTATGCATCTACCGGCCTACAGCACAGAAAGTATGAGAAATCTAGTTATTACATTAATATTACAATTATAATATTATAATGTAAGGATGTTTGATGTAGTGCAGTAAACGTTGTGTGAAGAATGAATAGATTGGTGACAAAAACCTACACTCAAAACAACTTCACACATTCCAACCCCCCCCCCCCCCCCCCGCGTCGTGAACAATGGCTCAAGAAATCATTCCAACAAAAAAAATTAGGATTATGTATTGAAAAACCCTTACGAAGCGTTTGGTATGAGGAATGAGATATGAAGGGATGAAGAGGGAGGATAAGACAGGGACTAAATAGATGAGATTACAATTATTTTATCTCTCTCTTGTTTAGTTGATAGGATAAAAAAAGAGGATAAATGTAGGAAGTTCATATAGTAAACCAACATATTTTACTATATTGCCCTTTTAGAATCATCATCAATCAAAACAATTGTCTTCAACCCACACCATTCTCTCTCTCTCTCCAAAGATTCCAAACCTCCATTTTTATAGCACTGTTCCTTCACTCCTCCCCCATGACTCTCATTTTCTCAATTTAATTGCATAAATTGGTAACAAATTAATATTCCATCATCAAAATTAACATCAATCATACTAAAACCCCATACTTTTCTCTGCCCCCTTTTTTTTTTCTTATATCCTTGTCGCTGAGTTGTTGGCCTTGTTGCCGCAGTGAGTTTTGGGGGTTGCGAGTTGTTGTCGCTATTAACCATAGTTGTGGTAGTTTTTGTTGCCGCTCTAAGTTGTTGTCTAAGGTTGTGGTAGTATAGTAATTAAATACATCAAGGATTAATCCCCAATCTTTATACTTGCCCCTCCAGTTACAAGATTCAAGGAATAAGAAGCCATTTAATCCCTATCTCATCCCACCGAAAAACTCAATTCCTTGTAAACAAACATGGGACAAAGGTGAGGAGAGATTAGAAATCCTTATCCCCTTCTACCAAACACACTCTTAAGATTTTTCCACCATACCAGAAGGTTGTGGGGCAACCCTCGTAATGTGAATCAAGAGGCTAATTCTTTTGAAGGGCCCAAGACACTTTTAGAAGGTCCAAATAGCCTCATTACAGGTTGCCCAAACAAAGAAATAAACAAGGAAAGGTCCACTAGAACAATGGGGAAAGAAGGAAGTCTGATCACCAAGGATGATGAAGTGTAGCAGTTCACTTCCGGCGTTGATGACGGGGGCCACACACCCAGATAGGGCCCACGCGTCGGCTTCCCGGCACCGGATTGAGCCCAGCTACACGCTAGTGTGGCGCGTGTGGTGGGCTTAGGGTGGCGGAATGAAATGAATTAATTTTTATTTAGTTTTTCTAGAGTTCTGCTTCTAAGTTTTTACCTTTCACTTGAGAGGGCTTTTCTTAATTTAAGCATCTTAAATTTTCTTTATTTTCTTGTATTTTAGTTGAGTTAGAATTTCTAAGTTGTTAGGAAGTATCTTAATTAGTTTCTTACTTGGAGACCAAGCTAAGAGAAAGTTTCCTACTTCTAATAGGTTTATGCTTGGAGCCCAAGGTTTATGCTTTATTGTAGCTTATAGAGGTTGGTCGGGGCCTTTCTTCCACACACAACCAGAAAATTCAATACAAGTGTTATAGCTTTGTTTTGCTTAATTGCTTACAAATATTTTGCTAGTTTTCAATTCAAGGAGTTGTTAAATACTTAGTTTTAGGAGTAGTCTAAGTCTTGTTCATCAAAATACTTAGTTCTTGGAGTAGTCTAAGTAATTTGAGTAGTCTTGAATTCGTTCCAGGATTGGTCGAATTACAAGTCACATCCGGTTCGTTGTTTTTCAAATTGTTCGAATTTCCTATCAAGTTCGGATAATTGGTTCTAATTGTGATATTTAGATTCTTTATTTGGTTAAAGGATTTAAATCCACATCACCTCGCCCATGGCTCAAGGTCACCGTGATCACTGGAACTCATTCCTTTGGCCATGGCCCAATAGCATAGGAGATGTCCGGATAAGACTACTAGAAAATAGAGGTTGAAAAGAGAGAATGAGTGATGCACAAGTTTGACCCTTAATACCTTCAATTATTTATTAGTGTATATTCTAAAAAGTTGATATTATAAATTATACATTAAGACTAATCTTATACTCTCGGCGTTTTTTTATTCGTTGCGTTTGGTATCATGCACGAGTATTATAAAATTTGCTTTTGCATACTTTATACCATCTTGCATAACTCAAGCACCACATGCGCCTAGAGAAAAAACAACATTTTTCCTCATGACTAGCAAATTGTGTTTATCATGAGGGTATAATTGTCAATTTATATACAAATCTAGGTAGCCTTGTAATTTCAACAATAACAGAAGTTAATAGTGTTAACTTTGTGAAGAGCGACATTAATGGAGGAAAAGCATCAATGAAAATTTCGGAAACTTAAATGGAAAAAATGAAGCTCAAAATAAATCAACTTCAATAGAGGAAAAAAAACCCTTAATTTCACCCTTTTTCATAGGGTTATGGTGGTGTTAGTGGAAGGGGTGGAGATCGTGGAAAGAAGAAGATGATGGAGGAAGAAGGAGAATTCAAATTCAATGGAGGAAGAACCTAAATAACGTCTGTTAATTTTACAAATTGAAGAAAGTAGTCATCTGGAAGCCACTAAGTCAATTTATACGATTTTCAAGACTAGATAAACATCCCATGTTTATAACTAGGGTAGCCAACGCACACGATGGGCGCGGAGTGGCTTGCCTTTTCTTGATGTATATATAGGGTTGTGTTTAAACTCTTTTACGACATTTGATTTAAACTTTTCGTTTTTCCCTACACAACTTTTTCAGTTGTTTATAACTTTTCCTCATGAAACATTTGTGAAACTTAATTAAGAATAAATTTAATATAATTCAAAAATCATGAGTACATATCATATACTAACAAAAGTAATTCAACATTGCATATGCATATAATAAACGAAAAGTTTTGCAGAGTATTTATTATTTGCAAGTATTTACTTCCTTTATTAAAATTCCTAGGAATTACATAAAATGTTTGGTTGTTATGTGGGAATTTATAAATCATGGGAATTATGAATGACTAAGGGAGGGGTGGGTAAGTAACTTCCCATGTTTTGTGGGAAGTGAAAATTCCCATGAATTGTGACTTCCCCCATTTTTGCTTTTTGATATCAACCAAACAACATACCCAAAAGGAAATTTATGGGAATTTTGAGTGCCCATGGAAACTAAAGGCAACCAAACAAGCCCTAAAAAAGAGAAACGGTTACACCCAACATGCATAAACATTAACATTCATGCAATCAGATAAAATACCAGCTTGGCAACTTTCTTCCTAAAACGTGGATTTGGTTTTATAGTAGAAAAAACTTTATGCAGCCACAATTATAGCCTTTAATCCCTTTACAATTCCCTTCTACACATGGAATTGAAGGACATAAATGTAAGAAATTACATGTGGGGGTAAAAGCGTAAACAAACATTTTGAAGGGCATATAGGTCTGTGCAATATCCATAAGTCTAATCTCCTATTTTTTATACTACCTCCGTTTCATATTATTTGCAACGATTTGACATAAAGTAGAGAGGAAAAATGTCTAATCGTTGCAAATAATATGAAACGGAGGTAGTAAGAGATTGGGAAGTTAAATTAGAGCTCCCCTGAAATTAATTTCCAACATTTAAGGGCTTGTTTGGCATCATTTTTGGTTTTGAGTTTTCTGTTTTTTTTTTTAAACTAAAAACCAAAAACAGGAAACAAGATAAGGGTATTTTCACTTTTTTGTTGTCAGTTTTTAAAATCATTATGATTTTAATAGATTTAAATAATTTTTTATTCATTATGTGACATATATCATATACTTTTATACAACAAAAAACCAAAAAACAGGAAACCATAGCAATGTCAAACGAACCCTAAGTTATAAACTATAGTTTGTTCCACATTCATAAAAGGAAGTGAAGTGTATACATAGTATTATAAGATCAATTTCGAGGATTGAACAAACGTTCATTCTATTCTCCCTTTATTTTGTTATGCTGTGTTCATATCTCCAAAATATCCAATGACTCTTATTGTTACACTTTTGGGTGTAGGTTTCTTTGTATCTCAAAAACATATTCTTGTACCTTCAGCATGGAGGGGAACAACATTTTCAAGAAATGTACTGTACTCATACATGCCTAGAAACCATTGTTCGTTTGTTTTTCATAGCATTTTATCAAACAAGCCTCACAGAAATTTTTTTAAAGAGCTTGCTCTGTCAGAGTTTGAAGTTAATGTCACTGTGTGAGGCCGCAAACCTACCCATTCATACAGTTCAGTTTCCTTTTTCTTGGTTAGCAATGATTCTAAGAAAATTAACAAGCAGATAGACAACTGTCCATTCATTGCTGATAATAACAATAAAAAACGATAAAAAGGTTTCAGTAAGCACAAACTGCTCTTTGGTACAAAAGAAACACATCCATCAAGAAAACTAAAAGCTCATCAAGCAATAGGATCATTCAAACCAAGATGGCAAGTATCTTCAAGCTTGGACCCACAACCGAAGAACCAGGATGATATATGTTCAGGAATAGTTGTAATTGACTTGCAACCAGTCTCAGCTAACCAGTGTTCTGCATGCCAGCAGCAATACCCTTCATGGTCAGTATAATTGTGTCCTCGAGACCAGGAGGATACTCACTGGTGGGATTAAGCTTCACAAGCTCAGAAGCTGGGTTTTTCGATTCCATTATGTCCTTGGATAAGTGTGGCCTCTCAGTTACATGGAAGTTGGGATCACGAATCCGCTTCAGGGTATATGCTTGGCAGACATTCAGAGCTGTGATATAAGGATCACGAAGTCGGAGTCTCTGTTTCAAATAAGGATCTCCTTGCAGCAAGTCCTTATGCCCAGCAACCTGTAAGAAAAAGTGGAGGCTTTTTCAATTATCTTGCAGTTATTGTCATCAATATTACCCTAACAATCTGTTTGGTACTCATGTAAGGTAAATAATTAGGAGTTGTCATACTGCAAGAAAACGTGGGGGTATTCATCTTACACCCGGGTGTAGGATGGAAAAATTAAGGATAACCTCAGGCCAAAGTCCGTGGTAATACAACCCCATACACGTGTGATCGCCTTCATGGATTTCCATTCTCATTCTACCACATTCA